AACAAGCTTCTATTGCTATAACTGGATTGAATATCAATGGCCTGAAAAAGTCTCGCAAAGTCTACTGTTACATCTCTAAAAAGGTGTGCTTTTTTTTCCTTTGCTTCATTCAAACAACAATATCTTGAAGGAGCTGTTTTTCAATTTTTTTTTTCATTAATTTTGTAGCAATTACAAATCAAAGAATTTTACATGAGGATTATTCCACACAGATTGTATGGATTCCGAGTTCGGCCCACAACAAAGGTATGTTGTTTTAGTTGTGTCTTTTATCCTCTATGACTTACAAGTGTTATTTTGATAGCAACCATTTTTGTTCTTAAGTGGAAAGGCCTTTAAAAGAGTAAATCATCTTTCTTACAACACTTTTAACTTGAATCAAGATCCCTCTTTTCATCTCTCCACAAAAGGTTTTCTATTACCGGTACTCGTGCAAAACTTCTAAAATGCTTGTATTTGTTTCGTCATATTGATATTTAGAGGAACTTTTCTTGTTTATAATTGATTATGCAAAATACGGGAAACTAAATATTTTATGTACCCACTCCTCCCTCAGATTATTCTGCATCCCCCTGACCGTAGTGTCGATTATCCAGCGTTTACTGTAGACGATGGTTCGCAGCCTCCGATAACTGTGATGTGCAAAGAAAGAAATGTATTAGTGGCGACCTTCTCAAGACTTTTGCTCACGAAAATAGGTCAGTTGAACAGATGATCGACGATGTTGTTATAGTCGCAACGCGCGAACTGTCTCTTCAGCCGAGGAAAGTTACAAAATATTAGTTTGGTAAGATAAGAAAACATCAAAAATAACAAAAAAAAAAAAACCAAAACAGTGGCGGGGAGAAGATTGACCAGGATTGCAAAGGATGTGTAGTAAAGCGCTTTTCTAATGAGTGATTGTTGGCAGTTTTTCATTTGATCGGTTGAGAAGGTGGCGCAATTTTTCTAGACCAATCGTTGAACAAAGTGAATTAAAACCAACTCAATCCAAGATTAACCGGCTCGACAGTCAATTAAAAATTCCTTTATCTGTCTATCAACACAGAGATTTTTCCTAGTGTCCTTTAAAGCCGTTGTCTAATATTGACCACACTTTTTCACTATGAGCACCACTCAGCCACTAGATAACATATACACCTACTTATAATAAGGTGTAGTTCCGTGACGTTCTAAGACGACGTTGCTTTGTAATAATATCTTGTGACAATTTGATTGCATATCTTTTGTAGTGCAGTAAGGCATTTACAGTTTCCTCAATTTTTCCATGCGTTCCAAGATTAAAATTTTAAGTAATCTCTTCACCATAACTTTCATTTTAACTTTCTTTCACAGGAGGGTCAGAGAGCTTCAAAGACAAACAGGAATTCTTTTATCGTGAATTACTCAACTACCACGGGCGAAAAACGGGTGAAGTGAACTTAAAGATAGATCGACGTAAACTCTTGGAGAGTGTAAGTTTAGCACAACGAGCTACGTTGATTAAAATGCAATGGAACGAAAATAATTTGAGGAGGAAACTCATCCCTTGCCCTTTTTTTTGAGCGAGTTTGTCCGAATATGAATGCCAAGGTATTTAGAGATCCTCTCTGCATCGCTTGTTTCTCTGTTCGTGGTGCGAGTCAGTCGTAGATCCTAAAATCAGCACGTCATTGGGTTGAATCTCACGTCGTCACAGAAAGTTTCTGTGACGACGTGGGATTTAACCTAATCAACTAACGTGCAATTGCTAGATATTATTTTTTATTATTCAGTGCTAAATAGCTCGTGTTCTTTCCCCGTAGTCCTATCAAGCCACAATGAAGACATTCTATTCCAGCGACTGGTTGAAATATTTTAAAATCACGTTTAAAGACGAACCAGGTAGGTTATGATAATTTTTTTCACGCCGTTATTTGAAGCTACTTGTTGTGGAATATAAGATAACTTGAGCCTCAGATCAGAGTAGAACTGGTAATTATATTTAAAACCATGTTTGTCTCTTTTACTTCTCAAGGTGTTGACTGGGGTGGCTTGCGGCGTGAATGGTTTGAGTTGTTGTGCAAGGCGCTGTTTTCTCACGAAGCTGGATTATTCAGTCGCTTCGACGCTGATGATCCTCAAGCTCTGGTGAGTGCAGAAGTGTTTGGTGCTCTGTCTTGCTTTATTGTAAAGGAGCAGCCTTGTAATTCACAACTACCGTTGAGTTTTGGTCTGTACTGCACGGAGCAAGTTGGAGTACAGCCTGCACAATGCTCCTTCTCTTTCCACGCCAGACTCTCAAAGTCAGGTTAAAAGGGTCTTTCCAAAGATCACAACACGATCACTCAGTCAGGTCAGCAGTGCTCTGAACTCAGGATCAAAGGTCCAACTCGCTAACCACTACGCCACAGCCTGTCTAAAATGTTTTGAGGAGAACAATTTTAAGAAAATAGTTAGTTTTCGGCGCCGGTAGAAAGAATTATGATGTTCATTGTTCCTTTTTTGTGTGTTCAAGGTTCATCCGAATCCGCGGAGACCTGCTCATTTGAAAGTTAAATTTTACGAGTTCGCCGGACGCATCGTTGGAAAATGCTTGTACGAGTCCGCTATGGGATCAACACGGAGATTAAATGTGAAAGCGCGATTTAGTAGATCATTCCTTGCTCAGCTACTTGGTCTTCGTGTAAGCTACAGGGTAAGACTACACAATTTTTCAAAATAATATTTAAAAAAAATAGTTATATGGAACAAATTTTTGAACAGACGAGCAATCCGAGACGAAAATCTGGTTTGACGCATTTCACTTTTAAACAAGTTCATTATACTTGGCGCCTTTGTAGGAGTTTTTTACTTTCGGGCGCTGCGAATAAATTAGAACTATTTTAACAAAAATTTTGGGGTATTTACGTTTCATTTTTCAAGATATACTGTGTCCTTCTCAGGAGCTTAATGGCAAGGATGACAGTTTCTCTTAGGCGCTGTTGCACATTAACCGCTGATCGCTTCAACTTTCGCCGGTTACCTTCTCAGCCGCTCTTTTGATGTCAAGCAATGCTCTAGCTTTCCGTGACATCCTAAGAACATTTGCAAAGGAGAATGCACAAACTGTGACGGAGTTTGTATTTAATTAAAAAGCTGTTACATTTGTCTGATCCATGTTCAATATTTTGTGTAAACATTTTTAACCGATAATTATTTTTCAATCCACAAAAAAGTACTTCGAGATTGACGACAAGGACTTCTATCGGAGCAAAATCAAATTCATCGAGGAGAATGACCCGGAGGACTTGACACTAGTATTTGCAGAGGAGGAGTACGATCAGCAGGGGCGCTTAGAGAAGGTGGGATAAAGGTCCTTCGAATTCTTAAACATCTCATCTCTTACTTTTCTTTCTCTTGAGTGTTTTTTGCAACCTTTGGTGATTATACTTGTATATTTCGAGTATCCAAAGCTCAGATCTCCCGATTTTCGTAGTCCAGATGCTCTACCATTTGAGCTCAGGACAACCTTTAGGTGAGCTAGGCTGTAAGTTGGAATCATATGGGAACGGATTCCAGCATGCTGCTTGTATCAGTGTTGTCGATACCGTCCTTTTTGGAGATGTCAAGTAAAGTGGTAACATACTTATAGATTGGCTTCTTAAACAGTTCTTATCAGCTGAAGTTAATTTCGTTTCAACCCTTAGTTGGAGGAGTTAAAACCAGGTGGAGCTCAGATACCAGTCACAGAATCGAACAAGAAAGAATACCTGGACTTATTGGCTCAGTATCGTCTTGCAACCTCTGTTAAACAGGAGATTGAAGCTTTTGTGAAAGGTACGATTAAAAAGGACTTTACGCCTCGTCATTAAGTATTTTTTCAGTCTACTCATGGTCCATTAGTCCACTCCATTCTTTGCGTGGTATTTTCAATAGTTGTTTATGCACCTACTTTGTCCCAGGGTCTCTCCTCTTCCTTGGGCGGGAAGAAGGAGGGAATCTGGGAACGAGGTTGATTATGCAATTTCCCGAGGCTAATAGAAGAAAGAAAAATATAATCTAGGGGACATCTTTTGGTGATTTGACTCCAATTTTAAGTCCTTAGACAGAGCAGAGTTCAAACGTTTATCTCAACATGGCGACCCAAAAAACCAAAAGACTACAGGGTTATTTCTCACGTGACAGAGATATGCAATTCGTACAAACTCCAAGCAAAAATTGGTATTCATGACCAAGGAACATTGGTCAATGTCAATGAGGCGCGACTAGGAAGTTAATCAGTAATTTCTCTTTTTTGGGTAGGTTTGAATGAAATTGTACCAGACAGTCTGCTGAGTGTGTTCGATGAATATGAGCTGGAGGTAATGTGCCCTGTGACCAATACTCTTCAACGGGTTTTCATTTTAAATTTGGTTATATTTTTCTGGGTCAGTTTTAGTTGCGTATCCGTTTCATTTTCTCTGTATTCCGCAGCTTTTGATGTGTGGGACTGGAAACATCAGTGTTACAGATTTCCAAAAAAATCATACTGTTACGCATGATATGGCACCATTTAGAAAGGTAAAGCTAACTTTAGTCATTACTTGGGTAGTTAGAGCGCTGTTACTAATGATCAATTAAAGGAACAAACTGCCTGAAGCGCAGAAAAACGCGAATGATCAAGTCACTGTTGGTTCTAGTCTTGCATCTTACTGGTTGAAAGGGTGCATGACGCGAGTGCTCCAGACCAATCAGGAGCAATGGGAATCAAGAACTAGGGTTACCTATTCTTAAAATTTTCAAAATGTCGATAATTTCTTTCACAGCTCAGAGCCGTTTCGTCTCGTAATTCTGTCGCGACGTAGTACTTGTTTGCAGAATAGCCCGCAGTTTTCGGGATTATATGAGGGGGCCCGATAAAGAAATCGACGGATGAAAGTGTAGCGGCCCAAACGGCGCGGACATAGTGGCGAGGGAATTTTTTAGTTCTAACTACAATTCATAAAGCTTTTTTTCTTATTCAGACTTTGGAGTGGTTTTGGACGATTGTGACAAGTTTTACTCAAGAAGAGCTTGCTCGACTGGTGCAGTTTATCACAGGTTCTTCTCAACTTCCCCCTGGGGGATTTGCCGAACTCTCTCCCCAAATACAGATCTCGTACGCTCCATTTACAAACGCACTTCCCACAGCACATACTTGGTAAGTACAGTCTACAATCCGCTACTTAGCTTGACGGAGAGGACCCTGGGAACGCTCGGCCCAGGCGTGAAGAGATCAGTAATCTTAATGGATCGTTTGGGCCCGATATGCAGATAGATCTTTTCGCAACTTCCGCGTGTTACATCAAACGTGACCAAATATAGGCAACTTCTTGGACGGAAGTTCATTACAAACTAATGACTACCTCGGAATTTTCAAATACGCTTGCGTGCGATGTAAAACTTGTCCTTTCATTCATAAAGTTGAAAAAATATCCCACCAGTAGCATAGCACCATTTTCTGCATATAAACACATACACAACCCACAATTCTTCCACTCGCTCTGACATAGGGCTAACGCTCGAGACGTCAGCTTTGAAACTCTTTTACCGTGGCCAATTTACTTTATCAAACGCCCAAAATAAATCTTTTTACAGGATGGTCAAGAATGAACAGATTTTGACTCTAAGAACCTTTTCTTGTTTGTAGTTTTAACCAGCTCTGTTTACCATCCTACTCGTCCTTCAAAGAGATGCAGAAGAAACTTTTACTTGCAATAAACGAGGGAAGCGAAGGATTTGGTTTTGCGTAAGAATGGAGAATTAACAAGATCATTAGATGTGCTTCGAAAAATTATATCGATGGAAAATTGACTGGGACTAAGACATTTTCTCTAGTACGCAGACCCTCGCATTTCTCTGATCGGAAGGGATTTTCTCATCACAGCATCTGCGCGTTGTTAAGCATCTAGAGAAGTAACAAGAGAGCAAGTCACCCCCGAGTGCGGGAAATTGATCGATAACCAAATTCTTAGAAATAACGTCCTACGAAAACGTACTGAGGGCTTAAGGAGTGACGCTTCGCTTGTATTTTCTGTAGGAAATAGTATCAAAAGTTTTAATAGCCGTACAGTCAGCAGTACTGACATAACGATTCTGCGATCATAACCGGATTAGACAATAATTTTATGAAATCGGGCACATTGTAGACAGAACAAAGTAGCTTTGTAAAAGGAGTTGCTCAAACCCATCTGATTGTTTTTATTACGTGCAACTCAAAACAACTTTTTCTTATTAAAGCTGGTAAAGTGATTAAGTGATGTTCAATTGGCAATTTCCGAGTTACCTTTGGCCCGTTCTCAAAGTGAGCCCCGGTGCTCAGCCTCTTCTGTGATTATAAGTTTTCAATCACATGCAAATTATACTCATTTCATACGAATGGATGAGCATCAGGCCTCGTTTTGAACACGAGGCCAAAGGTATTTCGGAATTAGCCTCTTTCAGCCCTTGTTACCCCTCGCTTTGTACTTTGTTTACCGAATGCTTCTCAGACAGGCGTGGTTAAGAATATGCGGTTGGGTGAACTTAACAACTCCTTCCCCTAGGGAGGTTGGTGTGGACTCCCCGAAGGTTCGCTAAGAATCTATATAGGTGTGGTTCAGGCTTTCTTTAGTCCCAAAGAGACACCAAGATTACGCCGGATCTTCGTGACCCCCTACCTTCCCCACCCTTGATCGTAGCGAAGACACGTAGTGATGTTGAGCTTAACAACACAATCTCACCGTTGGTGCTTTATTTCTTGACAACTTTAAACTTATCTACTACAAACCAAACTCTCCGAGACATTACTAGTCTCCACCGAGTCAATTTTTACTACATCGCGTAGTATGTCTGTTTTAAATCAAGCAAGGGAAGACGCGAACCACTTTTGAAAAAAACCCTCAACAAGCACAACGAATACTGCAATTTAAATCCGTCCAGTCTTGAAGTTTTCATGTCTACTTCGGAAATCCCTAAAACTTGTGACGATGGCATATCACCAGGAGGCGTCGTCTGCGTCCTCAAAGAACTTCAACTTCTCCTTATTATTTGATGTTGTATCCGGGCAATAACCCACAATTTATAATTGCCTTGCCTCTTGCTGCCTGTCTGTTGGAGGGTTTATTAGAAATTGTATGGAAAAATTTAGGCAGTGATCATTCCTAGGAACGGTAACTATCGATTCGGTGAAGTGTTTCTAAGTGGGGCAGAAATACGAAAGTTTTATTCAGTACTCTACAAAATTTTCAACTGAATCTACAGCAGCTCAGAGGAACTCCCTTCAGAACTGGCTTTCAAGTTTTCTAATTGTGCTTACTATCTACACAGTGTAAACCGTTTCTGTCCAACAAAGCTGGTTGTTAAAACAGCAAAAGAAGAATAAATATCACCCGATCTTTGCAGCCACCAACAACAATGTTCACTGCAATCACACCAATTTTCTAAAGCTACCATGACACTAACAATTGAATCAAAATAAAATGTCTAAATTTCTTTTGAATTTCAAACGATACGCGACTTTAACGCTCAGGAAATAACGCAAATTAATTCTGGTTTGAGTATTTTATATTAATTCTCCACTAATCCGCCTTTTTAGTAATTAATCAATTAAAGAAGGGGTCAAATTCATTACAATTAACGTCTGCGCTTTTCCTTGGGGGTTGTGCCCCAAAAGACAATTTGCTTTATATATAATTTAGTACAAAGCCTAACTTATGTAAGAGGCGAAATTCAAAAAATATTTCGAGCACCGAAGATTCGTCCGGAGCAAGATATAATATTGTTATTTTGTATGATAAGACGTGTTTTGAAGTTTCAATTACATTGGATTCCTTGTGTTGCAATCTGCTCGCACTAAAATGACACGTACACAGAAATATTGTAAAACCTGTCTCAATCTCCCTGACATGCTCACGGTTCAACATGACCGAGCGCTTGCTAGGATTGGACGAAACGAAAACCGCAGTGCGTAACAATGATGCATCACAAGGAACCCAAACGAACAACAAAATTCCATTTTCAAATTTAAATTTTAGACAATTTTAACTAAGGCTAGATGAACAACGGGTGTAACCCGTCTTAATTCCCCTTGCTCTTTCGTCAATTGCCCAGAAGTTGTAGAAGAATTTTCTCGAGGTCTCCTTTCATTTTCTTCGCTACAACATCTTTCAGAAGTTGTCCGGTCTTCTTTTCGTACTGACTCTTGATATCAGCCAGATCAATCTGAAATGACAAAGGAGAAAACTCTAGTTATTGTCTTTCCGTTTCCATTGGAACGAGAAAAAAATATCTCACACGTTTGCCACGACGAGGAGGAATAAGGGAAAAAATCCCAGTCACCCAGGAGAGATCTAATTTCGAACCTCTGAGCTCGATCGTTGAATAAAGAAAAACGTTGAAACACTCTTTGTATTCGTGTGGTTCGAGTCTCCGTGCGGAGCTCGAATTTTTCCAAACACGACGCATAACAAACTAATCACCATGGCCAATCAAATCTAGGGGAAATACCATAACGAACTGATGAGAACTCATATGAATACGTGTGAACTTAAGAACAGGAAATCGTTGGTGACAAAGCTACAATTGGTTTTCATTTTACATCTGATTAGTTGAGAAGGTGATGGGGGTTTTCAAAAAAAGAAAAGAGAACCAGGTGAAACAAAACTTAATTTAGGATTACTTTAGACACTCTAATGAAACTTCAAACTTACCTCTGATCTTGTCACCAGCACACGTGTAGTAATTTTACTGTTTCCTTTGTCCAGCGCCTTTTCCAACACCTCAGCGAAGAACAGAGCTGGATCCTGAGCGCATCGAACTGAGAATTAAATCAATCTCGGTCAATATTTGCGTACAAAGTAGGTTACATAGTGTAAACAGTGTAAGAGCCATGTTAAAAGTGAGCGTTTTCACTTCATCGTCGATCCAAAGGGAGCACCGTTGAAAAAATAAGAGAGGAGGTAAAATAACTCTCTTTTACAACCAGCTCGAAACATTGGGGAATATTTAAAAAAGTGATCGACTGGACGAAAACTTTTATCCGGAAATGTGGTGTACTCGTTATTAAACACAGTACACAGTACACAGTACAAGTTCTTTGTTACTTACCTATCGCCCTCAAGACATTCTGCAAATCTCCTTTAAGGTGCTCGTTGATGTAATCCATGAGATCACTTTTGGCCAACTGCCAACATAAGTAAAACATTCAGTTACAGTAAAATAAAACAAGCAAACAACCAAACTTGACAATTGCTTCACACCATGATTTCCAAACTTGGATTTCTTCCCCATTTCCATTTAACGATCCTTTTGCCTTCAAGAGGTGATCAGAGATCAAAGTTATCCACACCATTTTGATAAATCATCAAGTTGAAAGAAAGAATTAAAATAATTTTCAACGAAGGAAAATGACTTCTACTTGAACTATATTTCCAGTCAAAGTATTCAGGCATGAGAAGTAACTTTCTGATCTTAAAAGCAAAAGATCCAGTTGATTAATTCACTCATGGAAACTTACAGTTTTGTAGGCGTCTAAGGTGGCTCGCAGTTGCGCATAATTTCTGCTTGTAAGGACTTCGACAAATACTGCTTTGTCTGTTCCCTTTTTGCCTTGCCCTGCCTGAAAAAAAAAATCAACTAAAAGATTGTACCAACAAGCCACCATTCACGTCCTGTTTCTGTTCCTTATTTTTTTCTAATGATCAACCAGTACAGAACGCGTTGAAGTGGACCAGAGTTTTCTCGATGAATCACGGAGCAAAGTGAACCAACGCCCGAAAAAGGTCTTTTTATCAATGTAACAGAACGCTTGAAAATGGGGAAATAATAATATATGGATTTAGCCAAGCCTAAAAGCGGAGCTCGCATTTTTTTCCCCGCACGTCTCTAGGGCACAACGCCTTGCCCCGGCCAGGACTAGAACCCGAGTCGTCCGACTCGGAACCCAGTGCACTGACCAATGGACTACTGAACAAAGCAGTGGCGTTGGCGTGCCCGCGGTACAGTTGACCACGCATGTCAAAAGTAGCACCTCGTACGGTCGTACGGTCGTACATCCAAATTTTTTCGGCTTGATGGGTAACTACTATTTTGTATAATTATGGGGCTACGCTCTGCGAGCTCCGCTAAAATAGATAAATGAGTCAATACATGAAAAGATAATGATACAAAATAAGAAAAAATTAAATCAAAACAAAAACGCACCTCAAAGAGTTTCTTGGCATCCGTCTTTGCCAGGTCCTCCTTTACCTTTTCGTTGCTATCTCGATTTTTCTGTCGGACAAAATACATCAAGAACTGCTAGGCAACCAACGAAAGCTTAACACTTAAAATACAGCAATACATCATTAAATCTACAAAATTACTATCAGTGTCAAAACTTTTATTACAAAAAAATTATTTATCTAAATGTTTCCAAGTCTGTTACTGATCAAGAGCTGATCACGTGCATTTTGACTTATATTATACATTCTGGTCCAATCACAATCAGATGGCATTACAGCAGTTACCTCTATCAAGTTCATAAGAGTTGTCCTGAACTCCCCAGTAGCGTCTTCTTTGATCTTTTTAAGCACATCTTTACCGGTATAAACTACAGAGGAGAAAGGCCAATGAAGAAAGCGTTTACAAATAGGCCACAAAAAAATTTGGGAGGGAGTGGGAGGGGGAGGGGGCTATAGAGACATGCTACAACTTACTTTTCGTATAGGCTGACTTCATTACTTGAAGTTCCTGTAAATTCAAAATAACACAGGCTTTAACTTTATTTGATGAATTGTACACAACTAAAACTCCTTTAAAACACACAACTGTGTGATTAGCAATGTGGCTAATACCACGAGAAAACAAAATTGGACTCAAGGAAACCATTTTGAGCACAAAAACTTAAAAGAAGTCGTTTCAAAAGGTAATTTGCTGAAAAGCCAGTCTTTTAAAACTTTTAGGAAATTAATTTTTCCACTGCTTAATTGTTTCATCGCACAATGCAAAGTTAACACATGCGTGGTAATTTGTGATTCCATGAAAGCAGTGAATAATTTTCACGCCACTGAAACAACCATGACTACAACGATGAACTTTTTCCGCAGCAAACTGCACTCACCTCGTAAGTCCGTGAACTTAAAATTTCTATGAGGACCTGTTCATCAGTTCCAAGTCCCTAAGAAACAAACACCAACCATGATTAAATATGAGCAGATAAAGCGGAAAACAGCTGAGAGGTCCACGACTTACCGACATGGCGTCATGAAGAGAAACTGCATCGTAATTTTCTGGAACGGCCATCAAAGCGACTGCTGCATCCTGGAACTTTCCACTCAGTTCTGATTTCAAGTCATCCGTGAGGTTCTATGTAAAACATTTAGAAGAAAAAGAAGACACCACGCGTAAGCAAGGATTCAAGGCAACTTCTTAGGATAACTTTAACTCTGGCTGTTCTGGAGTCTCACGATGATTGAACCCTTTACACCCAAACAAAGTATGCAAATTCTCCATACTGTTTTCGGCCCCTTTTTACGACAAGAGCAGGGAGAATTTGTTCAACAATCAAGAGCTCCTTCAGTTGCTGACGACTTCCCTTTATTCTCATGACCTAAATGTTATATTCAGGGGTGAAACTATGCGAGGAAATTACATGCTACTCACTTGTTGGGGTTAAACGGTTAAAATTACAAAATGATCAAATTCCGCCGAAAAGTGATACTGAAAGTGACATGCAGTGGAACCCCAACGAACTATGGGAAGAATGCTTGGGAATAGCAATTTATAGCTTTATTTTTGGATTTAAACTGAAAGATCTCGCACATCCGTGGCACATCTAGAGCCTTGAAATTTCGCTTTGATATTATTCTATCGCTAACGACAACAAAAGACAAAGATTTGTTTAGAGCTGTTTTATCAACCTCTAGCTGTGATCGCTTTTAAAATTTACCTTGTTGTACTTCTGCTGGTACTTGGCCGCAATCTCTTGTCTCTGTTTATTTGACCGAGCTCCAAGAATGGCCACAATTGCGTCTTTGTCACTTCCTGTTGATTGAACACATAACGTAAGGAAAAGAGTGAAGGATTGCGTGACACACACGATTTCAACTGAGTCACAAAATCTTTGGAAGATAAGCTAGCATTGCCCAGGCAACTTAACCAACAAAAAACTTTTCTCCTAGTGGCGACAAAAATAAATTAAAAATCGATCTCAAGGAAAAACAATTGTAAAAGCGACAAGAAACATAGTTGTCCAGACGCCTCCTGAAAACTTCAAGTTATTGGTGTTCTGTTGGCAGGGGTGCTTAGGAGAAGGCTGCAGCAAAGTTGCCATGGTGACCTTGCGACAAAAGATATTCCTGTCCTCCTATGTAGCTACCTTAACGGCTGTTTCCCCCTTCACCCCCCTCTCTCCCCCCCTCTCTCTCTACAGGATTGTCAACTACAGGATGTTTCAATAACTACTATTGTAAAGTCTCAACCGCGATTTAAAAAAAAAAAGGTTTTTCAAAATATATTTTTGTATATTTTTATACGTAAGCCATGTCCCTCACCAGAACCCTGCATAGCTTTCCTCAAAGCTTCTGCGTCTTTTAAGGCATCGAAGTTATCTGCTGGTTTCAATGTCCCACGGAACGGGGGCTGAAGGAGAAAACGAGAAAAGAAAAGAATAAAGACAATAATCAAATCACGCAAAAACAAACTGTCTTTATGTCTGTTTTCCTGAAGCGCAGGAGAATTATTCTGTGTTGAAGGCAAGCTTCTTCACTCCTAAAAGAACACACTAAGACCACTTTTGACAATGGTGTAAATATACTCATGTTATAGCTAAAATTCAGTGCAAATTGCCCTGACAATTCAATTATGTTACTGAGGAAAATTAAAACTACTGTGCAACAAAACTGAGGGTTCAACTGAAAATACATTCCTCCTCAATGATCTCTTTAAAGAAGAAAAGAAGAACTTTTTTTCATTATCTAGGATCACAGTTAGAGCAATTCTTTCTCAACTTTATAATTACATTGGGGCCACGATAAGTTAAAAATTCATACGAGTTAGAAAAGAAAACATGTCAGTTTGCACCGAATTTCAGCTGATTAACATGTTAGATTTGTATATGTATACTGTGCGCTCGTTCGACTGCGCATGTTTGACTGCGCATGCTCCCTTTGGGCACGAGGCGGTACTTACTTTGAGTGAGTTGTCACTGGGGGCAGGGCGGGGCTTGACGGGGCTTATAGCTGTCTGTTAAACATGAAAGCAACGTGACGTATGCGTTATTATGATATCATATTTATCTCGACGAAAAAAGAGGTTTTGCATAACGAGCGATAATCATCCGGATCTAGTCGACTCCGTTTGGCAAAGAAAAAGTCACATGTTGACTGCCCTTCCGCCTTAAAACGTTGATGCATGTATCTCTTGAATTAAATTTACAAAATTTTGCAAAAAGAAAATAAAAAGTTTATGCGTACGCAAGCGTGCGACATAGGTTGAGGCCTATAAAAATTATAATTACTTTTAAGGATTTACGAAAACAAATCACTGCTTTGCGTTTACGATCATATTTCATTATCTTCGTCAATTTATTACAGCGCTGCCGAAGTTTTTCAACATCAACTATGTCCTTACTTGAATTTTCATCTGACTTGTATATCAAAATCATTACAAAGCATCTTAATAAGGGTCTTTATCAAAAAGGTAGTTAGCTAAAATATTAAAAACTTTTGATAAAACTTTCCATCACTTCTAGTTAAATTTATATTAAAAGCTTAATTGTCTTAGTATTAGAATTAATACTGTTACAATTTAAAAATTATCGCCATAAATTTTCCAGTCGCGTTTATTACTTGTGTGTATCAGTTGCAAAAAGTTAGTGCCCCAAAATGAAACCAATAAAAGTCGTCCTACATAAAAATAATATAAGCTGAAAACAGGGAACATACCTCACTCATTGCTTCTGAAATATCTTTTTCTATCTGTTGCGATGTAGCCAGTTCCTGGAAAAACAAAGCAAACTATTTCAGACCCTGCAGTTACACACAAAATTGTTGATAAGCACATTTTAAAGGCTAAAATCTCCAACGAAGTGGAAAATACTAACGCTTTCAACAGAAATTGAAAGTCTCTTCAACTCTTTGTATTCAACTTCTAACGCTTTGTGCTGCTTTTCCAATTCTTGTTTAGAATTCTTGAGATCCTACGAAAAAACATGACAACCATGTCGTTAACTAAGCATAAGATACTAACTTACTAAAAAAAACAAACAAACAATTCTCAAAGCTCAATTTTAATATTCAACAAAAAACTCAATATCCTTAACTAAAAATAAACTTGAAATATATTACAGTAACCTTACAACAATAGACTTAAATAACGTTACGCTTTGGTGGAATTACCGGTGGTGTTTGTATCGTTTACTCCCAGCAGACACATAAGCTAAGTCAGCTTAAGAGCATCGAGACTCGCACTTTCAAAAGCTTATCTCTGTTTCAGTAAAACAGAGTGTCTGGGAGTGCTGCTACTCTCCCCTGGGTGGGAATGACAGTTCGTAGAAGGATTCCCACCCCCAGCTTTCCGACAGATTTCTCAAAGATTTTGCTAGTACCTGGTCCAACTATCGGGTAGAGAGGAGCACTCTTCAGAGTCAATTAAGAGGCCAGCACACCAATAAATATGCTACCCAATCTCCCAGCCATGTGGTAGTGTCTACTGTTCTATACTGAAATTGCGTTTATCAATATGTGCTGATGTACAACTCGGTACTCACATCAATCTCTGCTCGCTGTTCAGATATCCTTCGTTCAGCCTGATGAAAACGGACAGAGTAAGAAAACCAATTTAAGTTTCTGTTCCTTCATAAAGAACCAAAACAACTCACACAGGCTCACAAACCCTTTCTTCAAAATGAAGACAAAACAAAACTTAAAAAGCATTTAATACTTCCACAAACACGAGTGACAAAAGACGGTTACATTTTTACTTTGGAAACTACAGAAAGGAAAATTGTTCTATACAGAGATTCGGCCATAGAGGTTTCATTAGAATGGATACACTTTATAAGGGTTCAGTGTACAGAACAGAAGGAAGAACACAACAAGACACTGCTTTTTTCAATCCCCCACAGAATAAAAAGCATGTTACCGTGGACACTGCTTTTGACGCACGAGCTACCCCTTTTCAGATAATTCAGACAAAAACTATTTTCCATGACCATGTAAAAAAGACCTTGAAGTTATTTTTTTTCTAAATATCGGAATTGTTGTCCCTGTGCAAGGTTTCATATTGTTTTATAAAATTAAAGCTTCCATAAACATTTTTAAGACTTAGAGAACTCAATTGTATAGATTTAGCGGACAATCTAACACCTCACCTCTTCCAGTTTACCGTCATCCTTTTCTTTATCCTTCTGTAATAAAATAGATGTCATAACGTGAAAATGAAATTCAATACCAACAGCCCCCGAGAGAGACTTTAAACGAAGAGAAACATTTGTGAAATGAAAACACCACTATGCCTTTGCAGATTCCTTGTCAAAATTTGTCATATAAACTATGAATATGGATCTAACAATTAACCTTCTCTTATCAAAGAGAGGATAAACATTCCTGGGCTTTATTTAAAACACAGTTTAAATTTATTTTTATATGCTTTATGGCATGCTTATGGAAATAGTTTACTCTTGATAAGTACTGTAATAAAATACATTGCTTTCCAAAAATATTGTGCAAATCTTTCCTCAGTTACACAAGATCCTGGCGACTGTCAAACTTCATAAGTAAATATCCTCTTTAAAGAATTCATCTTTGGACCAAAACAATTTACAATCATAGCGAATACATTTTGATATTTTATTAAAGTCATAAAAATAATACAAAATGATGCAAGGTTCAAAATGGAATTACAAAAATTACTCAGCAAAAAGGGAAATTATTGTAATTTAAACTTGATAGGCAGAATTCAAGAATGTATCATAATTTGATAGCTATATATTTCCATCAAATATCTAAAGAACGGCATTCACAACCCAGACCCCAAGCCTGCTGTAAGAGAAGCCACAGTCCATCAGTACAAACCTTGTTCTTTACTTTATTGAGTGCTCCTTTCAGTCCCTTTTTTTTCTTGTCAGGGCTGTTGTTTAAACTGTCAAGTGATTCCTACATTTGATTTTATTGGTTAATAATTAGAATTACATTTAATGAGTCCTTTAAAAGCCAACTTTACTATGCTGTTGTGATATTTTAAGAATTACTTTATAACCTGAACATAAATGTTTGATTTAATTTACGCAACCTATTTACCATTTGATTTCCATGAACCTAAACCTTTCTTATAGGTTTAATTCAAACTATTATCCAATGCTTAATTTTACTTTTAATTTAACCTTGCGATAAATAAACTTGCTTCGAGGAAACATTAACTTGCTTTCAAAAAAGTAAAAATGTTGCATTGCTTGTCACATGTTCATTTTAATTGAGGCTAATTAAGTTCATACACATTTGCTTG